GGACCCCAGTCTGATAGTTGGGAAACAAGCATAGGACTGACCCAGACCTGACCCAGAACATGGGTGTTAATTAGGAGGACTAGGCAGTCTATGGGGCCTCTGGTAGTGGATCAGTATTTATCCCTAGTATACGAATGGACTTTGGGAACCCATCCCACATAGTGGGATACTTTCTCAGCCTAGACAAATCTGGGAGGGCCTGGGAACTGCACCAAATGATATCACAGACTTTGAAGACTCACCATGGAAGGCCTCACCCTCCCTTGGGAACAGAAATGGTTTGATGGGGGCAGGGACTGGTGAAGACGGGTGTACAGGAAGTGGGATTGACATGTAAAACAAGCTTGTTTCAAATTTAAATAAAAAATTATCAAAATAAATGAATATTAGGAAGTAAAAGAGTATAATAATCTGCTATACAACTAATCACAAATATAGTCCTCAGTATTTTTAAGCTGTGTGCATGGGTTTTGGTCTCATTGTTTAGCTTCATTTTGCCCTCACTACCATCGACCAGAGGTTCTGCTTCCAAAGTTTCCTCCTTTATAAATCCAAATTTGAAAATTAATTGCTGTAAATGCTGTAAATAACAGAACCATTGTAGCACTGACTATCTCCAAATTGGTGTACCTTATTACTAAATCCACTGCAGCTATCTCTACTTTCAGGATAATCACAACTATTGTGGATGCCACAATGAAATTTCCTGCATGAACTAAAAATCGTCATTGCTGCCAAAGCTATCACCACCAAAGTTTTTAGGTCCAATTTGTCTAGAAAAAGCAGTAACTATGCTATTTTCACAGGATTTTTCTTCACAGTTATGGTAGTTTACATTATGGCAATACTGACTGACAATCATATCCATGAAATCATAGTCATCATAGCTCTAAAATGAATAGTTTCTCTCTTGACTGTCTCAATCAGTCATGATGTACAAATCACTTAAGTTTTCTTATACTGCTGCACATAGTTTCATAAACTATGTTCTCTTGGTGACTTCTTTAAAACCACCAAAAAAACTCTTTTTTTCATAGTAATAAGTGGTACCTGGTCTTTGAGAATCTTCTCTTGACACAGCTCTCTAGTTGTACAATTCAAATATCCTGCTCATGTGGCAGGCCTATCATTCATGATTCCATCTACCTCCTTTTTGGCTATGTCAATGACTAATAAAAATCTCTGCATCTCTCATTATCACTGTTTCAGTCTTAGGGAATGTTCCCCAATGCTCCACTGGCTGTTCAGGGTTTTATTATTTATTTTAATATTTTAAATGCAAAACATTTTACACATTTTTCATAGAATATGTTTTGATCATATTCTTTCTGCTCCCCAACTCCTCCCAGATCACCAGGTAATCTGAAATTCAGAGCCTTTATAAAGAACATTCACAGCTATTCATGTACCTTTGGAGACTCTGATTTAAACATGACAGCCTTCTATAATGTTTCCTCATAGCATCAGCAGCCAGAAAGTAAAGTGTTAACAGACATCTTGATGGTATTATTTTTAATTCATAGTCAATAAATTGATATTCACAATCTTATTCTTCCATAAAATGTATCTGGATATAGATCTTTTGATTTTTTTCTTTTTTTCCTTCTTTTATTTAAATTTGAAACAAGGTTGATTTACATGTCAATCCCAGTTCTATCACCCTCCCATCCTCCCATGTTCCTCATAAAAACCCCAACCCATCCCCTTTCTTCTCACCAGGGAAGGGGAGGCATTCGAAGTGGAGTATTCAAATTCTGTCATATTATTTGGAGCAGGGACTAGGCCTTCCCCCATGTGTCTAGGCTAAGAGAGTATCCCTCTATGTGGGATAGGCTCCAAAAGTCCACATTTTTAGGTTTTTCTTATTTTACATATGCATCCCAGTGCCCTCTCCTTCCCTCCTTCCCTCTCTAATACCCTCCAATTCCCCCCGACCACCCTCCCATTCCATTCCCCTGCACACACTCTGCTTGGACAGTGCTACCTTCCAGGAGGGGTCAACAAAATCTGTCAAGTCATTTGGTGTAGGGACTAGGCTCTCCCTCCGGCCTCTAGGTTAATGTAGTAAAACTCCATGGGGAATATGCTCCCAAAGTCCTTTTGTGCACCAGGGATACATCCTGATCCCACTGTCAGAGGTCCCATAGAATGCCCAGACCTTCTAACTGAGACCCATATTCAGGGGTTTAGAGTTGGTCCAATGCTAGTTTCCCAGCTATGAATTTGGGGGCCCATTAGCTCCTCCTTGTTCAGGTCAGATGTCTCGATGGGTTTCTGTAGCCTGGGCTTGCCCTCCCTCTCTGCATCTGGATTCCAGTTCAGCTAAGTGTTTAGCTGTGGGTGTCTGCTTATGTTTACATCAGCTGCTAGATGAGGGCTCTATGAATGAGGATAACTTAGTCATCAATCTCATTATCAGGGAAGGGCATTTATAGTAGCCTTTTCCTCTGTGGCTAAAATTGTTAGTTGGGTTCAGACTTGCAGGTCTGTGGACATTTGTATAGGATCAGTTTTCTCTTCAAACCTACAATAGCTCCCACTTTTATGGTCTATCTCTCTCTATCTATCTATCTATCTATCTATCTATCTATCTATCTCCTCTTGTCTATTCCTCCCCTGACTCAATCTTTCTAGTTCCATGTGTTTTCCTCTCCTCCCCTTCTCTTTCTCCTAGCTCCCTCTCCACTGACTGCCCTCAAACTCCCAATATGCTCAGGAGAAATTATTCCTTTCCTCTTCTGTGAGGGAAATTGTATGATGCTCTTTGATTCTTCCTTGTATCCTAGTTTATCTGGCAGTGTGAATTATAGGCTGGTGATCCTTTGCTCTATATCTGAAATCCATATAAGTGAGTACATACAATTTTCCTCTTCTTGTGACTAGACTGATTTACCTCATTCAGCATGGATGCTTCACGTTTCATCCATTTGACTATGAATTTCAAAATTCCATTGTTTTTCTTTCCACAGAGTAGTATTCCATTGTGTAAATGTACCACACCTTCTTTATCCATTCTTCATTTGAGGGCCATCTAGATTGATTCCAGGTTCTTGCTATTACAAATAATGCTTCTAATAACATAGTTGAACACGTCTCTGTTGTGTGGATGTGGATCATTTAGGTCTATGGCTAACTAAGAGTGGGATTGCCAGGTTCTGTGTTAGACAGCCATTTTCCTGAGGAACCGTCATATCGATCTCCAAAATGGCTGTATAAGTTTGAACTCCCACCAGCAGTGGAGGAGTTTCCCCTTTCTCCACATTTTATCCACCTTAAGTTGTCATTGGTGTTTCTAATGTTAGCCATTCTGGCAGTAGATAGAAGGTATCTCAGAGTATTTTGATTTGCATTTTCCTGGTAGCTAAGGATGATGTGCATTTTCTTAAGTGTCTTTCAGCCTTTTTGATTTCCTCTATTGATAATTCTCTCTGTAGTTCTATACCACATTTGAATAGGGTTATTTTAATAGGGCATAGATGTTCATGATTGAGACTTTGAACTGATGGATTTCGCCTGTGATGAATATGAAATGACTGCCTTCATCTCTTTTGAATGATTTTAGTTTGAAGTATAACTTGTTAGATACAAGGATAGCCACATGCTTGCTTCTTGGGTCCATTTGATTGGAAGATCTTTTCCAGACCCTTTACCATGAGGTAATGTCTGTCTTTGAAACTCAGCAGTGTTTCTTCTATGCAGCAGGAGGATGAATTCTGTCTTTGTATCCATTCTGTTCACCTCTGTCTTTTTATAGGTGAATTAAGACCATTAATGTTGAGGGAGAGGAAGGACCATTAATTGTGAATGTTTGTTTGCTTTAGACTTGTTTCCGGTAGTATTGTGAATATATTTGCTCTCCTTTGCCCTTGGCTTCTGGTGAAGTGGGATTATCTATTGGCTATGTTTTTGTGAGCGTAGATAACTTCCTTTGTTTGATGTTTTCCTTCTAGAATTTTCTGTAGGGCTGGATTTGTATATAAGTATTCTCAAAATCTGCTTTGTCATTAAATATCTTGTTTTCTCCATCTATAGTGATTAAGCATTTTGCTGGGTATAGTAGCCTGGGCTGGTATCCATGGCCTCTTAGTACTTGTACAACATCTACCCAGGACCTTCTGGCCTTGAAATTTTCCATGGAGAATTCGGGTGTAATTTTGATAGATCTACCTTTGTATATTACCTGGCCTTTTTCCTTCACTGCTCTTAATTTTCTTTCTTCTGTATGTTAGGTGTTTTGATTATTATGTGTTGTAATGTTCTTCCCCCCTTTGGTCCAGTCTATTTGGTGTTTGGTATGTTTGTTGTAAATTCATGGGCATGTCCTTCTTCAGGTTAGGAAAGTTTTCTTCAATGATTTTGTTGAATATGTTTTCTGCACCTTTGAGCTTAGCTTCTTCACCTTCCTCTATGCCAATTATTTTTAGATTAGTCTTTTCACAGTGTCCCACATTTCCTGGGTGTTTTGTGTTCAGGATTGGTTGGATTTAAGATTTTCTTTGATGGGTGAATCTATTTACTCTATTTTATCTTCAGCTCCTGAGATTATGTCTTCCATGTCGTGTATTCTGTTGATTATGCTTGTGTCTGTAGTTCCTGATCATTTGCCCAGTTTTTCTATTTCCAGCATTCCTTCAGTTTGTATTTTCTTTATTGTCTCTATTTAAGTTTTCAAGTTTTGTACTGTTGGATTTGTTTCCTTCACGTGTTTGATTGGTTTTTCTTGGCTTTCCTTTTTTAAAGAGGTTTATTCATTTCTTGAATTTTCTCTTGGTCTTTTCTTCTATTTCTTCCATTTTTTGTTAGTTTTTCTTCTATTTCTTTAAAGGATTTTCTCATTTCATCTTTGAAGGCCTCTATCATTTTTATGACAATATTTTTTAAGTCATTCTCTTCTGCTTCATCTACTTTGGTGTGTTTAGGTCTAGTTGTTGTAGAGTCTGTAGATTTTGGTGATGTCATGCTTGTCTTTCTATTATTGTGTGTTTTCTTGTATTGCTATAACATATATGGAATGCTTCACGAATTTACAAGTCATCCTTGCTCAGGAGCCATACTTATCTTTTCTTTATCATTCTAATTTTAGTATATGTGCTGCTGAAGCAATCACCCTAAGTCCATTTGTATACTAAAGATAAATACTGTCCTATTACTACATGCCCCATAGATGGCTCAGTCTTCCTAAGTATCATCCACTTTCATGGGTTATTGGTCAGTCCTATGCTGGTTTCCCAGATATCAGACTGGCATGCATGAGATCCCCCTTGTTCAGCTCAGCAGATTCTGTGGGTTTCTCAAGCGTGGTGTTGACCTGTTTGCTCCTCACTCCTCCATGTCTGCAACTGGATTTCATGAGTTTTGCTAGGGTTTATCTGTGGGTGTCTGTTTCTGCTTCAATCAGCTAAAAAATGAAGGCTCTAGGATGGATATGCTGTGGTCACCTATTTCAATATCCTGGAAGGACATTAAAGGTAGCCTCTCCACTATTGCTTGTATTGTAGTTGGGTTCATCCTTTTAGATCTCTGGACATTTCTGTAGTCCTGTAGTAACAGATTTCTCCTTATCCATCATGGAAATGCAAATCAATACAACTCTGAGATCTCATCTTATTCCTGTCAGAATGGACAAAATTAAAAACACCAAAGACAGATTATCCTGGAGAGGATGTGGAGAAAGGGGCACATTCTTCCATTGTTATTTGGAGTACAAACTCGGAAAGCCATTTTTGAAATCAATATGGTGGTTCCTCAGGAAAATGGGAATTAGTCTACCTCATGACCCAGCAATTCCACTCTTAGGCACATTCCCAAAAGATGCACATTCACACCACAAGGACATCTGTTCAACTATGTTCATAGCAGCATTATTTGTAATAGCCAGAATCTGAAAGTGACATCAATATAGCTTAACTGAAGAATGCATGGAGAAAATGTGGTATATTTACACAATGGATTACTACTCATCAGAAAAATAGAATATTGAAATTCAGGGAAATGGATACTGATAGGAGATGTCATTCTGTAAAAATGTTCTTCATCTGGTTAATGAATAAATCACTGTTGGCCAATAGGAAAGGAAGATAGAGGGACTAGGCGACAAGGAGGATTCGAGGAAGAAGTAGGGAGGAGTCAGCATGTTGAGACCTGGGAGAGCACAATTCCAGCCCCTCTAAGGTAAGATGAGACCACATGGAAATACTTACACAAAAATGGGTTAATAATTAAGACAGAGCTAGCAAATAAGAAATAAGCAACTGGCTAACAGCATTATATCAAATAGAGCATTCCTGTGTGTTATTTGGGGCTGACTTGGCAGCAGGACAAAATCAGCAGCAGTCAGAAAACCCTACACAAAACATACGGTGCCCACTTGGTGAATAAAAACTTCCATTTAAATTTAACAAATCTTTAACAAAAATTTTTTAACCCATTCTTTTTTTTAAATTATTTTATATAACAAAGTCCATTTAAATGAAAACAAACATTTATAGATAATATTTGGGAATTTAGGCGTTGTTCTACTTCCTGCTGGTAAGGGGCGCTGTCATGGGGGATTCGAATAAGTTTCAAAATCCCTGGCTGTAGTCTGTAAGGCTACTTTGTCCAGTTGTTTCGGATGTAGTATCACCTCGTACTCTGTTTCAGGTAGTCTGGCTTGATCAAACCACATTAGTCTAGAATGAATCCACATCTTTTCATTTTCTGTGAAAAAAAAAAAGAAATCCTTTTCCCCAGTCCTTCAACTTAAATTTTGGAGTCAAAGCATTTTTTTTAATTTAATATTTTACATGTCAATCCCAGTTCCAACTCCCGTCACCCTCCCTCTCTCCCTCCCTCCCTCCTTCATTCTCTCCCTCCCTCCCTCCTTCCCTCCCTTTTACACTCTCTGCCCTCTCATATGCACTCTAACCATCCTCCCCTCCCATCCCCCCACCCCAATTCCATATGTAGGGGAATGCCATCCAGTTGTGGTTATGTAGATCTGACAGGTAATGTGAAGTAGGGACTAGGGCTTCTCGCCTGTCTCTAGATTAAGGCAGTTATCCTTCCATGGGGGATGTATTCACAAATTCCTTTTGTGCACCAGGGATATACATCCTGGCTCCACTGTCTGAGGTCCCTTAAACTGCTCAGTCCTTCTGGCTGAGACCCATATTAAGGGGGGCCTGAGTCAGTCCCATGCTGGCTTCCCAGCTATCAGTCTAGTGGCCCTTAGCTCCTCCTTGTTAAATTAAGCTGTCTGTATGTGTTTCTGCCCCATGGTTTTGTCCTCTACATCTGCATCTGGGTTCTAGTTCAACTCAATGTTTATATATGGGTGTTTGATCCTGTTTCTAACAGGCATTAGTTGAGGGCTCCAAGGATAAGTTAGTTGTTGATCTCACACTCCAGGAAGGGCATTTATGATAGCCTTTCCACGGAAGCTCAAATTGTTAGGTGGAAGCAGTCTTGTAGTTCTCTAGACGTTTCTTTGTGTTCAATTTTATCTTCAAACCAATATTGGCTCCCACTTTTATGTTCTCTCTCTCTGTCTCTCTCTCTCTCTCTCTCTCTATCCTGTCTTCTATTAATAACCAGGCTCAATCTTCCTAGTCGCACATGTTATCCTTTCCTCCTCCTCTTTTTCTCCTACTTCTCTCTCCATTCACTGACCCCCCCACTTACCCTGAGCTGTGGGGGACTTGTCCCTTCCCAGTTCTGTGAAGGACATTCTATGAATCTCTTCGAATACACCTTGTATCCTAGTTCCTCTGGTGGTGTGAATTATAGGCTGATGATCCTTTGATCTAGGACTAAAATACATATATGAGTGAGAACATACTGTGTTCCTCTTTTTGTTACTGGGTTACCTCATTCAGGATGGATTCTTCAAGTGCCATCCACTTGCCTGCGAATTTCAAGATACCATTATTTTTTTTTTTTATGCTGAGTAGTATTCCATTGTGTGGATATACCACATTTCCATTATCTATTCTTCAATTGAGGGGCATCTAGGTTGCTTCCAGGTTCTTGCTATTACAAATAGTGCTGCTATGTACATAGTTGAACAGATGTCTTTGTTGCATGGATGTGAATCCTTTGGGTATATGCCTAAGAGGGGGATTGCCGGGTCCTGTGGTAAACTAATTCCCATTTTCCTGAGGAAACGCCATAATGATCTCCAAAATGGCTGTATGAATTTGCATTCATACCAGCAGTAGAGGAGTGTTCCCTTTCTCCACATCCATTCCAACATATGTCATCACTGGTGTTTCTAATTTTAGCCATTCTGGCAGAGTTATGAAGATATCTCAAAGTTGTTTTGATTTGCATTTCCCTGATAGCTAAGGATGTGGAGCATTTTCTTAAGTGTCATCCAGCCTTTTTGATTGAAAATTCTTTCTACAGTTCTGTACCCCATTTTTTAATAGGGTTATTTGGTGTTTTGTTGACTAGTTTCTTGAGTGGTTTGTATATTTTGGAGATCAGCACTTTGTGGGATATAGGATTGGTGAAAATCTTTTCCCAGTCTGTGGGCTGCCATTTGGTCTTGACCATTGTGTCCTTTGCCTTACAGGAGCTTCTAAGTTTGAAGAAGTCCCATTTATTAATTGTTTCTCTCAGTGTCTGTGCCACAGGAATTATGTTCAGGAAGCATTCTCTGATAACAATTTGTTCAAGGGTACCTCCTACTTTCTCTTCTAAGAGGATCAATGTGGCTGGATTGTTGTTGAGGTCTTTGATCCATTTGGAATTTAGTTTTGTGCATGGCGACAGACATGGGTCTATCTGCAGTATTCTATACACCTTCATCCAATTATGCCAGCACCATTTGTTGAAGATGCTGTCCTCACCCCATTGTATAATTTTAGCTGTTTTGTCGAAAATCAGGTTTTCATAGGTGTGTGGGTTAATATCAGAATTTTCAATTCAATTCCATTGGCCTACTTGTCCATTTTTATGATAATACCAGGCTGTTTTAAGAACTATAGGTCTGTAGTAGAGCTTAATGTCAGGAATGGTGATGCCTCCTCAAATTCTTTTATTGTATAGGGCTGTTTTTGCTATCCTGGGTCTTTTGTTTTTCCATATAAAATTGATTATTATCCTTTCAAGGTCGGTGAAGAATTGTGCTGGGATTTTAATGGGGATTGCATTGAATCTGTAGATTGCTTTTGGCAAGATTGCCATTTTTACTATGTTTATCCTACGTATCCAAGAGCATGCGAGGTCTTTCCATTTTCTGGTATCTAAATTAATTTCTTTCTTTAGAGCCACAAAGTTCTTATTATATAGGCCTTTTACTTGTTTGGTAAGTTTTACATCAAGATACTTTATGTTGCTTGTGGCTATTATAAATGGTGATGTTTCTCTGATTTCTTTCTCTGTCTCTTTGTCATCTGAAAAATGTAGGGCTACTGATTTTTTTGAGTTTATCTTGTATCCTGTTATTTTGCTGAAGGTGTTTTTCAGTTGTGGGCATTCCTTGGTAGAGTTTATTGGGTTGCTTATGTAAACTATCATATCATCTGCAAATCGAGACAGTTTGACTTCTTCCTTTCCTATTTGGATCCCCTTGATCTACTTTTGTTGTCTTATAGAATTATTTTGAACTTCTAGTACAATATTGAAGAGATATGGATAGAGAGGGCAGCCTTGTCTTGTTCCTGATTTTAGAGGAATTGGCTTAAGTTTCTCTCCATACAGTTTGATGTTGGCAGTTGTTTTGCTTTATATTGCTCTTATTATGTTTAGGTATGTTACTGTTATCCCTGACCTCTCCACGACCTTTATCATGAAAGGGTATTGTATTTTGAAGAAGGCTCTTTCCACATCTAGGGAGATAATCATATAGTTTTTCTTTTTCTGTTTGTTGATATGGTGGATCATGTTGATAGATTTTCATATGTTAAACCATCCCTGCATTTCAGGTATGAAGCCTACTTGGTCATGGTGGATTATTTTTCTGATGTATTCTTAAATTTGGTTTGCCAGTATTTTATTGAGTATTTTTTCATCAATTTCAAAAGGAATATTTGTCTGTAGTTTTCTTTCTTAGTTGTGTCTTTGTGATGCTTGGGTACCAAAGTTATTGTGGCCTAATAAAAAGAGTTCGGCAATGAACCTTCT